TGCAATCTCAATGCATGGCTTGACTCCTCTCCATTAAATAGGACAAACCTCCTCTTTCTTTTGTGGCATCCTTAGATGGCCATGATTGATTGAACCTAGAATTTCTTTTGTGTCTGCCTCTGTTTCCATCTTTGAGCCTTTTGGATTTCTTCTGGTACCTTGCACCTTGTTCAAAGTGGTGTTACAACTTGGCTTAGAGCAATGCGATTTCTTTGGTAGGGGGTCATACCTATTCCCAGCTCTTGCCGTCTTGATGCTGTCAGAGAACAGCTGCTTTAACTAATCATACAAGATGGTCATATGGCTTAGTTTAGGTAAGGTAGAACTGCTTGTTACTGAGGAAACAAGGGCAAATGTGAGGATGGGGCACTTATATAGGGGATAATGGAAAGGCAGGTGGTGCTATACACTATTTCCATCCCTCAGTTCTCCATTGCCAATGTTCCCCAAGACTTTTTTTTTTAAAAAAATTTGTCCCTAGGCTGAAATCAGGAGTAGGCCAGTCTGTAGTAAAAATGGGCCATGGAAGAGTTATTTCCTGTTATTCAAATTAACAGTTGTTTCCCAAAGAAGGACATATTAGTCAAGAGACACACACTGCTGTCCTGTGGTTTATAATCTCAAAAGACAAAATTCACAATGGAATAGTAATGCTTGCTTGCATCAATCTTTTTTCATTCCCATGACATCTGACAGTTTTGGTTCAAAACAAAGACCAAGAAACACCCCCCACCCAAAAAAAGAATCTATTAGGGACTCCTAGAAAAATGCTGAATAGATTGAAGAAGAATAGGTCTGGGTGGGACTACTTTGGGACACAGAAGACAGAAGCATGACCAACTCAGACGCTGAGGCATCATTTGCCTGAAGAGGAAATGCACAACCTTCTTCTTCATCAGTTTTATTTCCCTGCAGCATTCCAGGCATTCTTTCCCTTACTGTGTCATAATAAATAGGGAGTTGCCCCAAAAGACCAACACAATCACTTTTAACTTTAGAAGGGGTAACATCTCTGAAATAAAGGCGCTTGTGAAGAAGAAATTGAAAGGAAAGGCAAGGAGAGTCAAATCCCTTCAGGACAGGGTTGCCAGACCCCCCGATTTGGTGGGGGGGGGTTGCCCGATTTGGAGGGACTCCTTCCCTCCTGCCACCCAAGAGGGACCCCACCTCCAAGAGCGACCACTTGGCCTCCCCCCACCTCTCCCCAGCAGCATTTAAAGGAAGTCTTTAAAGGAAGTCTTTAAACACTGCTGGGGAGAGGCAGGGGCTGTGTGCGGAGCTGCCAGCTTCTGCCTTGCAATAGGTGAATTCCCCTCTCTTCAAGTGGGTGCCGCCAGCTCCTGCCTTGCAAGAGGAGAGTTCCCCTCTTGCAGGGCAGGAGCCCCCGGCACCTGCTCTCTTCAAGAAGGTGTAACCAGTTCCTGCCTTGCAAGAGGAGAGTTCCCCTCTTGCAGGGCAGGCGTGCTTGGCTCTTGCTCCCCCCACCATTTAAAGGGAAGGTTCCCTTTAAATGGTTGGAAAAAGGTGGGGGTGGGCTGCATCCAGAGTGTGATGGTGTCACTCTGTGTGATGTCATCACATCAGGGAGGGCCACACCCCCTCCTGGAATGCCCCCTAATCCCCCCGCCGGGGAGACAATTGGACATGACAACCCTACTTCAGGAAGCTTGGAGACTATTTAAAACTACTATCCTAGAAGCTCAGATAAAATGTATACCACAGGTTAGGAAAGGTACAAACAGGTATTTAAAAAGCCCTGTATGGTTGATGAACAAAGTAATGGAAGCAGTAAAAGATAAGAAGGATTCCTTTAAGTGGTGGAAGGCTAGACCGAGCATGGTAGATAAAAGGGAACACAGGCTGTGGCAAATAAAATACAAGTTGGTGATCAGAAAAGAGAGTATGAGGAACATATTGCAAAAAACATAAAGACCAACAATAAAAATGTCTTCAAATACATTAGTAGCAGAAAACCAGCCAGGGAGGCAGTGGGGCCCTTAGATGACCAAGGGGTAAAAGGATTAGTAAATGATGATAGGAAAATGGCAGAGAAGCTGAATGCATATTTTTGCCTTTGTCTTCTCTATGGAAGATGGGAGGTGCTTGCCTGATCCAGAACCACCGATTTTGGGAGGGGTGTTGAAAGACCTGAGTTCTATTGAGGTGACAAGAGAGAAGGTCCTATGACTGATGGACAAATTAAAAACTGACAAATCACCAGGCCCCGATGGCATATATCCAAGAGTTCTGAAAGAACTCGAATGTGAACTTTTGGATCTCCTGGGGAAAAAAATGCAATCTATCATTAAAATCTGCCTTCATTCCTGAGGACTGGAAGGTAGCGGATATAACCTCACATCTTTTTTAAAAAATTATTTTTTATTAAGAAAAGACATAATGGGACAACCATGAAAACAGGGGGGAAAAACACATTACAAGACAAATGCAACACAAACATGAAATTTTGAGAATAAACATAACCCATTGTAAGTACTACCAGCTTAACTTTGCTCTAAAAGCTCTTAGAGATTAACCATAGGACTAAAACTCAAAAAGTAAAGCAGTGATGATTGATCCTGAAAAGACTTAACTGAATACTACCAGAGGAGATCCAGGAAATTACAAGCCAGTCAGTCTAACATTGGTGGAATTTGTTATTAAAGATAGAATTAGTAGACACATTGATGGAAAAAAAGCTATTGGGGAAGAATCAGCATGGATTCTGTAAGGGAAGATCTTGTCTCACTAACCATTTAGAGTTCTTTGAGGAGGTGAACAAACACGTGGACAAAGGTGACCGAATAGATGTTGTTTACCTAGACTTCCCGAAAGCTTCTGATAAACTTCCTCATCAAAGGCTCCTAAGTAAACTTCGTAGTCACGGGATAAAAGGTCAAGTCCTCTTGTGGATTAAACACTGGTTAATTAACAGGATACAGAGAGTGAGTATAAATGGCAGTTTTCACAGTGGAAGGTGATAAGCAGTGGGGTACTGCAGGGCTCAGTACTGGGTCCAGTGCTTTTTAACTTATTCACTAATGATTTGGAGTTGGGAGTAAACAGTGAAGTAAGTTTGTGGATGATACTAAATTGTTCAGGGTGGTGAGAACTGGGGAGGATTGTGAGGTGCTCCAGAGAGATCTGTCAAGGCTGGGTAAGTGGGCATCAACGTGGCAAATGAGGTTCATTGTGGGAAAGTGCAAAGTAATGCACATTGTAGCCAAAAATCCTAACTATAAATACACATTGATGGAGTCCAAACTGGTGGAGACTGACCTTGAGAGAGATCTTGGAGCCGTGGTAGATAACTCACTGAAAATGTCAATTCAGTGTGCCACAGAAATAAAAAAGGCAAATGCTATGCTGGGAATTATTAGGAAGGGAATTGAAAACAAATCAGCCAGTATCATAATGCCCCTGTATAAATAGATGGTGCAGCCTCATTTGGAATACTGTGTACAGTTCTGGTCACTGCACCTCAAAAAAGATATTTTAGCATTGGAAAAAGTGAAAAAAAGGTAACTAAAATGATTAAAGGGATGGAACGCTTTCCCTATGAAGAAAGGTTATAGAGGTCAGGGCTCTTTAGCTTGGAGAATGCATGAGGGGAACATGACAGGGGTTTGCAAAATTATGCATAGGACAGAGAAGGTAGACAAAGAATTCCTTTTCTCTCTTTCATACAATACAAGAACTCGTGGGCACTCAATGAAATTAATGAGCAGTGGGTTGAGAACAGATAAAAGAAAGTACTTCCTCACCCAAACAGTTATTAACATGTGGAATTCACTGCCACAGGAAGTGGTGGCAGCTACTAGCATAGACAGCTTCAAGAGGGGATTATATAAACATATGGAGCAGAGGTGGCTTTTAGTGGCTATTAGCCATAAGGTATAGATGGATCACTATGTTTGGAGCAGTGATGCTCTGTATTCTTGGTGCTTGGGGGGCGACACTGCGAGGGCTTCTGGATGGTGGACCTCCTGATGGCACCTGTGCTTTCACCACTGTGTGACACAGACTGTTGGACTGGATGGGTCATTGGTCTGATCTAACATGGCTTCTCTTATGTTCTTATGTACTAGAATAGGTTCAGTAGAATACCATCCTGGAAAGAGGCAGCAGTGCACTTAGTGTGAAATTGTGCCTGAGATTCTGTATGACCTGGCATAGTTTTTCATACACGCATGAGATGGGAGTGTGAACCAGGGAGTGTGAACTCTGCAAGGTGCTGCAGCCAGACACCCTCTTAAAAACAATGTACCTGCATAATACAGATACTTTCAAACCCCTGTTTGTCAATACAGTTTAGTGCATGTCTTGAATTTCAAAAATATTCGGGCTTCAATGAGAATCGGAGGCAAAGAAGACCAACTCCATGTCATTTAGGTACAGGCTATCCCTCTGTTTGGAGACTTATTTAGCAGCTATGGCTAAGCTTTAGCCTATTACAGAATGACTTCCACAAGTTAAATACCCACCTACACATTGCTATTTCTGACTAGCTGAGGAATATGGGAGGCAAATCCTAAGACATTTTGTGCCTGCATAATAAAGTATGCTGTTGGCATTCAGATGCCCAGCTTTACTGTCCTTGTTCCTGGATCTTATTCAGCTTTCTCTTCAAGGGCCCTGTGCCTTCTGGAGGAACACTTTAAATGAGATGGCAGCTATATGGCACACCTACACAGGAACATGCTTTCCCCACAACCTCATCCCACTTAAACTTCAGTTTTTATCTGCAGAGGTCTTGTATTCCATTTCCTGCTCTGCACTTATTGGATTTGGGATCCATTCATTCATATAGAAGCAATAGGAAGTGTATATATGCAGAAGAAACTATTCAGATTTTTCTATAAATTCAGTTCAGAATGGTATGTCACAGTCCCACTGAGACACTGTCTCGACTGCAAAAGACTGTCTCAGGGAAACAAATCAATCTCTTCTGGAAAGTGTTTCTTCCATATAAATCATTTTGATTGTCATTGGTCTTTTGACAGCTGTGCGGAAAGGAATTTAATCGAATGCATAATTTAATGGGACACATGCACTTGCATTCAGACAGCAAGCCCTTCAAATGCCTCTACTGTCCCAGCAAATTCACCTTGAAGGGGAACCTTACCAGACACATGAAAGTCAAACATGGAGTCATGGAAAGAGGATTTCGTTCTCAAGGTAAATCAGTGACTGGAAACCAGGCGGGTTTTGCATTAGATTCAGTAAACTCACCTCTATAGCATCTTAAAGGCATTTTGTGCAGCACAGAGTCAGCATTCTGTGTAACTAATTGTCAGATCCAACTCTCAGCAAGCAAAAAGATTATGCTATGTTGGGTAGCAGACTCTAAGGAGTGAAGAGGACAGGTTGGGCTGGGGCACACTTTGTCATACAAATGACAGGGCAGGTCACATACCCTCCACTAGTCTATTAGTCATTACCTGGTGCCTGACCATGGAAGTCTTAAGGGTCAGAGCTTATCACACGGCTTGCTCTGAACTATTAGGTGTTCCAGTGCCTCTTACAGGGCTAGCTGATCTAGTCAGAATTCATTGAACAAATCCTGCCTGATATCTACAGCTTTCCAGGTTCAGGGACACTGTGGTTTTTATGCCGAAATTTAGTAATAACCTAAATTACCCATCCATTCAAGTAATGCTACCATTAAATGAAGTAAATAAATAAAAAAATTGAATTGATGCAAACTGACTGTCCAATATATTTGTTTGTAGATTAGTCTACTAGTGCAATCATTTCAAAGTAGATGCCCATCTAAAAGCATCCATAAACTTTGAAGTCAGAAATATTTACGATTCCCCAATCCATTAACCAGAAGAAAAATACTTGAATTGCAGACCAGCAGCTAAAAAAATCAGTCTTCATCATATTTTATTCTGTAAACATGAGTCAAAATTAACACATTGCTTCTAAATTGAAAAAATGGGAGGATCTCAAATTAAGCAGTGGCAGATGATTTTATGGTGAGGACATCAGTGTTTAAGTGGGTTTGAACCCAGACATCTAAGTTAAGGTTTTCTGAATAAAGGAACGAATAATAGAACAGACTACAAAGGCACTGATCTGAATATTTTTAGAGATCATAATATTAGTCTTACATCAGTCCAATCTATGAGGCTTCAGGCCTGAAAAGAATGGGAAGAAGCCTCAAAGATTACATTCCCACCCAGTTTGGTGTAGTGGTTAAGTGTGCGGACTCTAATCTGGGAGAACCGGGTTTGATTCCCCACTCCTCCACTTGCACCTGCTGATGTGACCTTGGGTCAGTCACAAGCTCTGGCACAGCTGTCCTCGAAAAAGAGAAGTTTGTGTCAGAGTTCTCTCAGCCCCACCCACCTCACAGGGTGTCCGTTGTGGGGAGGGGAAGGGAAAGGAGTTTGTAAGCCACTTTGAGACTCCAAGTGAAGGGCGGGGTATAAATCCAATCTCTTCTTCTTCTTCCCTCTGCAAAGAGGCATAATGCTCATAGCACAAAACCACAAAGAACAATATGGCAGTTGTTCTGAAAATTAAATACTTTCTAAATTTATCCACAACCAATGCAGCCACCATATTGTCACTCTCTTGGCCTACTTTCATCCCCCTTCCCCCCCCCCGGTGTCTCAAACTTGGACCAGGCCTAGAAGTCCCCATGGCAAATACTCCTGGGATGAATGCATCTTTTCAGTGGTGAGGATGCAAAATGAACCAATAGAATCCCCCTTATCTCCCCCACCATTTACTGCCAAATAAATAGTTTAGAAACAATGGGACTCAAATTGAAATAAGTTCATTTCAATTACTAAATTAGAATGGACTTGTGAACATTCCAGTTAATATATTAACATTTTTAAACCTTCCAGGCCTTGGTAGAGAAAGAGTGAGAACATCACAAACAAACGCTACACAAAGCCTGGAACAGGAAGAACCATTTGACCTCTCTCAAAAAAGCCAAGCAAAAGTACTTTCATTTCATTCTGATGGTGAGTGTGCTAAAGGAAGCTCATGTCCTGAGGAAGAGGAAGACAGCTGCTACAGGGGAGAGAGGCATAGCCCTGGCATGTACCACAGTGACAATAAGGCATTTCGGCTTCAGGAGCTTTCAAGCCTTCCGGGACAACATATTGAAGAATCATCCTGTGGTGGTAAAGAGAAACCCCTGAATGGAGAAAGAAAGGAGAGGAAAGAAAACAAAGAGAAAGAAAGCCAGCAAGTGGAAGACTTTAAGAATAACAGTGAGGAACACTTGAGCTTTAGACACTTTGGAAATACCAGACTCACTCAGTCTCTCTCTGAGTATCTGTATTTTCAACACAGAAACAAGAGTTTAAAGGGACTGCTGGAAAGAAAAATGGAAAAGCAAGCTATATTTCTGGGAATCTGAATGGACACTTAACCCTTGGGAAGGGGTTAAACCTTTTCACTGAAGTGAGCTATATACCAAGGTGGACACTTGGTTAAAAAAGCACAAATCATCACAAGTAATTTAAGAAAGGCCCCCCAAAAAGCCATTTGTCATTGAACTATTATTTCATTCTTATTTTATGCAGTTATGTCAGAGATATTAAGAGATAATAGCTGCCACTGAATTCTAATAACCAAACAGGCTGCAATCTGGGACACTGTGGAGAACTACACATGGAGAGAACCCCTTCTAATTTCAGATATGGGGTGTTCAGGACCAGAGGAAGCCCATGGCTTCTCAGCTCTGAGGGGATCCAAGAAATCACCCTCTGCATCCACTCACCAAGGCAGCAAAACACAGGGTGCTGGGTGTGTAGCTACAGTGGGGCAATTTGGGGGCCATGCCCCCTTAATTAAAAGCCACACCCCCACAAAAAGCCATGGCAGAAATATTTTTTAAATATTAAGTTGTGCTAGCTGGTGGGCAAGTGAGTGGCCAGCTCTCTCCCTGCTGGCCAGGGCAGCAGTTGCCAGTCTAATCTGTGAGTGAGCAGGTGAGGAGTGAGCAGGTGAGGAGGCTGCCATGCTGTGCCAGGGGAGTGTGCCTGCACCAGGGGAGGAGTCATATGATGACCCAGTCATGTGACCCAGCCACCATGGCATAGGCGCGCTGCAGAGAGGCAGCACAGCAGCCTCCTCAACCACCCATTTGCTCACTCACTGCTGTGGCAGGTAGAGAGCTGGTAGAGAGGCAGCTGGGGGCCACTCACTCACCTGCTGCCCTGGCGCCTGGCTGGCAGGTAGAGAGGTGGCCGCTCACTCGCCTGCTGTCCTTGCCATTTGTTTGTGTAAAGCCAAAGGTAATTTAATTAAACTCCATCTAATAAACTTTAACTAACGGCTTAACTGCCCCCTAAGAAACTTAAATGCCCCAACAAAAAAAATCCTGGCTATGAGCTGGCATGGTGCCTTTAAGGCAACACCTTCTAGTCAGCTGTTTGGCAGTGTTTGGCCCCTTAACAGCCAATTGCCTGACGATCAGCTCAGAAGCAGCCTTGAGCCAGGAGTGGGGAAACAAGAGAGTGAGTCACAGCTGAGATGCTGGGGTGGTGGCAGCTTTCTGTGGGAATTGCTGAGATCTCATGGGAGTTCCAGAGGCATTCACCTCAGGATGAGCAAGGCACTTTGTAAGGCAAAGGGAAATTGGGCAAGAAAGACATACCAGCTATTGCTCCTCAGATTGAAAGGAACAAGGTCAGGAGAGAGGTGGAGCACAAGGGTTAAGGAAACCCCCTTCCTCTCTGAAGCCTGTGGGGTCAGATAGCACCCCCTGTTGGCAAGGATCTGCCAGACTCAAGCATGGTGTCTACATGGGGATTACCAGATGGCAGGGTAGGTTTAGCCTTCATTCCTATTGTGGTCCTTAATGCACTCTTTGCTATGTCTCACATAGGTGAATGTCTACCAGAGATACTAGGCACAGACATGTGTTTCTCTCCTTCAGGGGCTCTTGCAATGTATGGGCCATTCTTCCATAGAAATGCTGAATGTTATGATAGGTATTTTGTTAATTTGATAGGGGGGAAACATGGGAGGATGGTAGTGCAATGATTTTCCTCTGATTAAGAAAGGCTAAGTATGATGTCTCGATACTTACCAAAATGGGAAATACAGTAGTATCTGAGAATATATCTTCTCTGCAGACTGAAACTGATCCGACAGTCATTCCTTTCCCCTCAGAATAGGGTTGCCAAGTCTGGGTTAGAAAATACCTGGAGATTTTGGGGGTGGGGTTTGGGGAGGGGCCTCAGCATACTACAGTGCCATAGAGTCCACCCTCCAAAGCAGCCATTTTCTCCAGGGGAGCTGATCTCTGTCAGCTGGAGATCAGTTGTAAAAGTGGGAGATCCCCAGGCCCCACCTGGAGGCTGGCAACCCTACCTCAGAAGCCTGGGAATTGTAGTTCTACCTGTAATAAGGAATTCTCACTATTGACACCAAATATCACTTGGGAAAGCCATGACATTTATAGTGACATAAAACCAATATATGTGTTTAGGACAAATATACTCCAAACTATAGCTAACATATAAAGAAAACACATAGATCTGCGAAGATTAGATCAAATGATGTTGAAACATATGATGATTAGTTGTTAAGTATGCATGCCCAGAAACAATCTGGTGTCTTATATATGTTCCACCAACTCATTGTACAGTATTGCAATTAACGGCTTCAGTGCCCCATTCACATTGGGAGGTCAGTCTTAAAAAGTCAGTCATCAGATGAACAAAAATAAATTTATAGCACATGGAAAGTTTGGAGTGAGTTACAATTATAGAGTTGAAGCTGATACTGATGTTTCTAATATTGCCATCCAGGGAACATTTAACAGTTTTTCATATGAAATGACATAGAAAACTTTCTAAAGGGAAGTTGAAAGATTGAGCTGAACTTTCAGTCCATTATTTGTTCAGGCCCACAGAATCCATTGTCTTGTTGAATGTGCATAGGTGCTGTTCAAACTGATAAAAAAGCATTTTCTGGGGAAAGCAGGCAGAATTAACTTAGACAGTTGGTGGCAATTTTTTGAAGTCCCATAACTGGACAGTGCTATCAAAGCAACGTTTTCTTGAAAAGCATATCCACAGCAACTTTTGCCCTGATATATCTGCGCTACAAACCCAGTGCTCACCATGACTGATTCCATCTTCCTCAGAGCAGCCTTCTTTGTGTGAGACAGGGAATGAGAAATCACCAAAAAACCAAACCAAACCAAAACCCACAGTGTTCTGTCCCTGCACAAGCAGGATTGCACTGGCAAAAAGAAAGAAACTGCAGATGTGCTGAAGAAGTACAATAGCTGCAAACACTCAGAATGTTGGATTTTCAGAATAAATATTTTATAACACCTGTAATGGGGGGATGGCGGTCTTACACATGGTCACCTGCTTCTGAACACCAGCTGGCATCACTTCATTATATTCTGCACATTTGAACTCCAAGACTGACATGAACTCCAACCATTTTAAGCAATGGCTTTTTAATAATAAAGCCTCATAGATTACTTTGGTGAGCCAAGCAATGAATCTGCTGGTGCATGAGGACAGAACTTGCTGTATTTAATTCAAGGCAGAAAGGTTGCTCATGTTATGCTGAATATATTACTTTGGTGAACCACAGCCCAATGATGGGTGCTGAGAGATATTTTTAGTATTTTTTCAGGGATGAGATCAGGTGTAGTGGCTCCACACCTTATGCTTTGACGCAGCAAGGGCTGTCTGCAGTGACCAGGTGCAAGAAGACTGAACTCTTCATCTGAGATCTTTTTGCAAATTTTCTGTCTTTTGCATCTCACTGTTTCCAAAACATTGCTGCATTGTTGTCCTGGTGGTGCAAATCTAAAAAGTGCAATTCTAAATATATTTATTGTGCCAAAGATAATATTTAATAAAGTATTGCCAGGTGTCTAGTTACATACTGTTTCTGCTTAGCTGAATAAGAGGTAATAGTATTAACTGTTTGTATTCCTATATCTGTGTACTGATTTGTGGTTATCCTCGCAAGTGGAATCCAGCATGATTTCCAAGGTAATTTTTGATAGCCAGATTAGCTCATCTGATAATTCTATATGTAAAATGGATTTTGTTAATTTAAAATGAATAAACTATATACTGAAGATATTGCCAGAGTGTTTGTTTCAGTTGGCTCTGATGAGATGCCTCAGTTGTCCTTAAACTGAGGCTATTGTACTTTGGTCACATTATGGGAAGACAAGAGGCATAATGCCAGGAAGAGTTGAAGGCAGCAGGAGAAGAGGAAGAAAGAAGCCACAGCCTTCAGTTTGCAAGACCTGAGCGAGGCTGTTAACAATAGGACGTTTTGGAGGACATTCATCCATGGGGTGGCCATGCAGGGCTCTTTTTGTAGAAAAAGCCCAGCAGGAACTCATTAGCATAATAGGCCACACCCAACAGCAGAAACTCATTAGCATATTAGGCCACAACCCTGACAGCACAGCTCATTAGCACATTAGGCCGCATCCCCCTGTTGCCAGAAGTGTGCTCATCCAGCCACACCCACCTTTTGCTTCTTATTCTGTTTACCTTGTTTGTTGTCAAAACCCAGGGCTTTTTTTGTAGAAGGAACTCCTTTGCATGTTAGGCCACACACCCCTAATGTAGCCAATCCTAATGAGTTTCTGCTGTTGGGTGTGGCCTATTATGCTAATGAGTTCCTGCTGGGCGTGGCCAACTCGGGAGCCACCCGGAACTCCGTTCCTGTGTGTTCCTGCCCAAAAATAGCCCTGGCCATAAGTGGAAAGCAACTTGACAGCACTGAACACACACACACACACACACACACACACACACACACACACACACACAGAGCTGCATCTGTTAAAGCCAAAATAAAAGATTGGCTTGTGGAGTGTTCCCTCTAAGCTGAGTTAGTGTGAGCTAGCTCACAGTTTTTTAGCCTCCGGCTCACACATTTTTCTCTTAGCTCAGGAAGGATGGCTCCAGGGCAAACTAATTTACGCAGTAGCCAAATAGTTTGCTCACAGCTTTAATGCCAGTAGCTCACAAAGCAGAATTTTTGCTCACCAGACTCCACAGCTTAGAGGGAACATTGCTTGTGGTACATTAAAGACTAACCAGTATATTATGGCATCTTTTTCTGTGTGTGGAGTAGAGCCTGTTGTATCAGATGCCTCTGATGAAGAGGTATAGTCTACGAAAATTTGTACCATAATAAGGTGTCACAAGGTTCTTTTGTTTTGTTGGAAAAATTCAGATTTTATCAGGCCATTTTGATTTTTTTCCCCTTGAGGGTAATTTACAATGTAAAGATTTTCTACATGCCAAGGAAATCCCCCAAGAACAATGAAACGCCTTGTCTGTTTGTGGGTGGTCTGCTTTTGTGACTGATATTATTAGATGCAGAGATGTCATGGAAAACTTTCCTACATTAGCCCAGACCAGTGGCCCATCCGGCCTAGTGTGCTTATTAGCAGCGGCTCCACAGAATCTGAGTTTGTCACAGTTTTGCTACTTAAGGTCCTTTAATAGAAAGGGAGAGACATTAAA